CATCTTAGTGTTAACATGTAATGAATGAATATACCGTATTGTCCCGAATATAAGACAAGGTTTTTTTCTTGGAAATTCATCTGAAAAAACGCGGTCATCTTATATTCAGGGTCTAGACTTTGTCGTCACACACCCCCCCCCCAGCGTCGTCCTGGTCCTGTTGATGATATGAGACAGTAGGGGAGAAATAGGGGGTGGGTGGGGAGTGACCCCTGACAGACCTGCGAAAGCTGCCCAGATCCGAGAGAGACCGTCAGCGTTGGCGTTCGCGGCTCCAGCCCGATGACGCACCACGAAGTGGAAGTCCTGGAGCGCGAGGAACCATCGAGTCACCCTGGCATTGGTGTCCTTAGCGCGGGCCATCCACTGAAGGGGTGCGTGGTCCGTAACCAGGGAGAACTTCTGGCCAAGGAGGTAGTAGCGCAGCTCCAGGACTGCCCACTTGATAGCCAGGGCCTCCTTCTCCACCGCGGCATAATTTGCCAACAACCCTAAAAAGGCTCGTACCTGGGTCTTGGTCTCGGGTCTCGGGGCGGAGCGTACCGCCTCCACCTTCCTCTCCTGCGGCCGAATGAGACCCCGTCCCACTTGGAAACCCAGGTACTTCGCCTCGGAGAGTGCAAGGTGGCATTTGCGAGGGTTGGCGGTGAGTCCAGCCCTCCGGAGCTCCGAGAGCACCCTCTGTAATCGGTCCAGGTGTTCTTCCCATGCCTCGGAGTGGATCACGACATCGTCCAGGTAGGCGGCGTAGGCCTGATGGGGCCTCAACAGGATGTCCATCATCCGCTGGAACTTGGCGGGTGCCCCGTGGAGGCCAAAGGGAAGGGTCCGGTACTGCCAGTGGCCACTGGGGGTAGAAAAGGCAGTCTTAGGTTTAGCGATCTCAGAGAGGGGTACCTGCCAGTAGCCTTTGGTGAGGTCCAACGTTGAGATATACCGGGCCCTTCCCAGCCGGTCCAACAGCTCATCCACCCGAGGCATGGGGTATCCGTCGAACTCAGATACCTCGTTGAGGCGGCGGAAGTCATTGCAGAAGCGGAGGGTGCCGTCCGGTTTCGGGACCATCACGATTGGGCTGGACCACGGGCTGCGTGATGGTTCTATCACCCCCATCTTCAGCATTTGTTGGATTTCCTCCTCAATAGCTCGCCGACGAGCCTCAGGGACGCGGTAGGGCCGCTGCCTGACGATGACCCCTGGCGGCATGCACGCAGCGTTGGGGACTAGGACCATGACTTGGTTTCTGGGCTGGAACTCCCGTGGTTGGGCTGCCCGGTTGTAGTGGCGCTGTTGAGCCTGCTGCGCTTTGCTTAAGTGTTCCCGGACTAATGGCATGACTCGGTCGATCCTTTCCCTCATTTGCTTCACGTGCTCGACCACTGAGCGATGGGCTGCCGGCTGTTGTTCCCAGGCCTCCTTCGCCACATCCAGGAGGCCGCGGGGTTGCCGGCCAAAGAGGAGCTCGAAGGGGGTGAA